GGGCACATACCTAGTAGGGAGTGTGCAGGAGGCAGCTGATCGATGTTTCTCTCTCATTGATGTTTCTAACTCTCTATCCCTCTCCCTTCCTCTCTGTAAGAAATCAATAAAATATATTTAAAAAAAAGAAAAAGTAGGGTGCTAGTAAGTCCCAAAGAGAGGGGCCTCTGGCCCAGGATGGATGGACAGAGGGAGGCAGGAAGCCGTCTCAGAGGTGGTGCTGCAGCTGAATCTTGAAAGAGAAAAAGGTAAGTGAAAAATTAAGTGAGGCTGAGGCCTGTGGTAGATGATGTAGCAGCAACAGAAAGAGCAAATGCAATGATCTGAACTGGAAATGTGACTATTCCATAGAGACCTCAGTCACAAAAACAATGCAGAAAATTGCATGGAGGACGCTTCCCCTAGTTCACATCCTCTGTGCTTCCTGAGCTGTTCAGCTGCTACAGGCCACTCGCCTGTTATCAATGAGAACTGTGTGCCAGCCTAAAATCTGATCAAATAGCTGTCTCCTTGAAGCACAGGACTAGCCATACGTTCTTTAAGCACTCGACTTCTATGATCTAACACCATTTTTTTAGATTCCGTGTAAGTCTGGAAGCTAATAGATGAATTAAAAAAAATAATCGCCTTTCCTTTTACCTCCCCATAAATTGGATCTAGCCATCAGCAAAACACACTGATGTTCCCTTGAAGAAGGTCTGATGGAGACTGAAGCATTAGTCTTGAAGGGAGATTGGTTTTAATCAAATACTTGCCCTTTTTATCACTTGTAGTTTAAATGGTGTTCTGCAAGCCTCAGGCATAATGGAAGAGTATGATTTTTTTCCTCTGAAGGTAGCTCTTTTAAAATTCAGGCATTGATAATGCCTTCAAAATCGCAGGGGTTTCTACCACCTAAAGAGCCTCAGCAATGAAGAACTTAAATCTACCTTCTTAAATATATGAAAGTCATACCACATGTACAATAGTACAGGGTGGAGAAGGTGTTGAGGACAAATGTAGAAGGTCGTATGATCCCTCTGAGCTGTGTAATGCCCAGGATATGAGACAAGAACTCCTAAGGGCACATCCTCCTGTACAAAATGCAGAATAACCTCAACCAATGGGAAGTCCTAAGATCTGGGTTCTGACTCTTCCGCTAATAAGCACGTCATCTCTCTGGGTCTCAGCTTCCTCACAGTCTAACGTCCCTTCAGTTAACAGATAAGATCAACAAGTCTTTTTATGTGTGTGTCCTAAAATTAAATTGATAATAAAAACTAGTTAATATTTAGAGGAGCACTTATCTTATGCCAGGCACGGGGCTAAATGCCTTCCGCTCTACATCTCATTTCATCTCACAGAGCAACTATAGTAAAACACATACTAGGATCCCCATTTTACTGATGAGCACACAGGGGCTGAGATAAGTGACACAAAAAGAGCTGCTGGACAGAGTGTCTACCACACTCACAACTACACTGTTTGATGTCAAGCACGCTTCACCACACAAGCCTTGACATTCTCGCTAGGTCACGCAGGTAATCAGATTCCACATGATTTGTACAACACATTGTTTTCCTAAAAAAAAAAATGTCTGCAGTTTTTTCACACAAGATTTCCAAATGTGAATTCCATTTTGTTGCATCTCCAAACAGATGGGAGTCTACACAGGTATCTGCTATCAAGTCAGGAGTACTTTGGGATGCAGCACCAGATCACCTCCTAGGATGCCCCATTTTCATTGTCCATGACTACAGAGGAGAAGGGGGGCATGGGGACCTCTCTTTCTCTAAGTCTTTTCATCAGAGGATCTGAAGAAGGGAGACAGGGAGCGGGCATCTAAGTAACAGCATCTCTTTCCTGGCAGCCTTCCTGGTCTTTGTGACACTGAAAAGATACTGAGTCCCAGGAGGAGAAAGACGGGAAAGGGGCTTAGAGTCATTTAATGAATTGAGGCTGGCGTGCCTTTAATAGCCCCACTTAATTGTACCTTCTTATTTTCTGCAAAAGCCCTCCTACCACTAATGTATTCTCCATCTCTTACCTCCTCTGGGGGATCACAACTGCTCCATCTTCTCCTCTTTCAACCCAACCCCTAACACTACATGCCTTCCTCTTCACAATCACAAAAGCTGAAAACAAAACAAAAAATTACAGGATTTTAGCTACGTGTTACTGAGGTGTATGTATTAAGTTATAGCATTTAGCTTCCAGGGAAGGGGGGAAATTGTGAATTAGTATATTTTTATTCCAAATGGGGGTTCTGGGGGAAAAAAAGTGATTAATAGTATTAAAATGATAGCATGCTTACAGCCACAATCGTAGGGACAAAATGTTAATTTTCAGTTATTTTAAAACTATAACATCATCAAGTCCATTATAGAGAACTGACAGCTATGTCTGACCTCAGACCAGGGCCAGTGGATGGCTTTTCTCACCCAAAGATAGCATGCCAGGCCCAAAATATGAAAACACTCTAAAAATAGTAGATGTCCTAACTGAGGCCTGTTGTATCCAGGGGTGTGTATATTTCTAAACCTTCCCATCATGCACCATAACACAATGCAAAAGGGACAATTCTCACATGGAAAGTCACACCATTGTCCTAGAAGCATTGTTGTTCACACCTGGGGAGTGGGGTGGAAGTGTTTCTAAAATTAGACGCCTTAAGATTACGAGAAACCTTTCAGTTTTATTAACTGGGAAATTCTAAATTTGTTTTCCTATAAGATCAGTCTGCTCTTTCTCAATCATACCAATGTGAACTAAACTTTCCAGAAATAAAACCATTACAAAGTCATAGCAAGATCAAGTATGCTAAAACAAGGATATTTTATCAGATGCCCAGAGTTGGTTTGGGTTTTGTTTGTTTGTTTTAGCAATAAAGAATGGGTTAATTTAAGAAAATGTGGGTGTCAATATTCTCTACAACAAAAAAGTTCCACACTTAGAGATCATGCAACCCAAAACAACATTCAGGCTAAATAAAAGTAATACTGAGCTGACCACAGTTTTAAAAATCCAACTTCCAGTAACATTCTCACATGCCACCTTTATCTACTAGTACATCACCAATCACATCTTTGCTTGTCTCCCCAACTCCATGTGTTCCCCTCACTCATTCTAAAGCTCGTTGGAAACTGAAAACAGAGAAGGAAGATTTGTTTGTGGTGAAGGAAAGAAATCTAGAATCTCAGAACAGTGAGGCTAGCACAACCAATTAAACTCTTCCAGTTTCTCAAGCTGTGTTAGCAAGATACCCTATGGAAAAGGGCACGTAGGCTCAAGACATTTTTATACCTCCTAGAGCTGGCAGACAAGCCCCATCAACAGTAGAACTGACAGGGCTTGAGGGATGAGAGACAGACTTTCCCCCTTATCTTAAGCATATAATTTGATAAAACCCCTTCTCAGGATAAAACAATGCTTTTTAGCTAAACTCTGAACTTGAATAACCAAGTTTGAAATTTAGACTTTTGAATTAGCCTGGCATACACAAAAAAACACTTCATAAATGCATAGTCAATGCATGAATGAATAAATCTACAGAACAGTTCTCTTCACAATTAAAGAACATTTATGGAGAACACTGTTCTACTAAATATTCTCCATCTAGTCCCCTCTGCTCTATTAGCTCTCATGAATAGATCTTCTTAAAATGTAGCCAATCACCCAATTGACAGCCACCCAAGTGTTAATGTAATGATCCTGCTTGTCAAAGCCAGTCTAGCCCTAACCCACATCTGAATATGAATTCAAGAACTGAATCCCAGTGCATACCATTAAACAGGCAAGTCTTCTGCCTGTGCCCTGGATGACATCTCAGCACCTCTCTTCCTGGCCCACACTAGTTTAATTGGCTCCTAAATAGTCCTTCTCATCCTGGTGTCCTCACGACCTCAGCTCGACAGAGGTTGTCTAAACTCAGGAATCAAGCACTTGTTTTTACTCCCTGGGTCTTAGGAGAAAAAGGTGAAAGAGAACACCACCACCCCCAGCCTGCTGAGTCCTCGCTGGTGCCTTCTCCCACACCCAATACTCCCATTATGGTAGACTCTGAGGAATGCACCCATGAGTTTGGGGAGAATATTGAAGAAATAGACAAACGACTGGTCTTATCACCTGAGTTCTCCCAGCCAAACTGAATGGGAAAGAATCAAGGTCTCCAACTACACCTTCATGAGAACTGAGACCAGGGCGCTCTGCTAATTACAGGTTCAGAGAATAAAGCTGCAAAGGACTTTTCCGAGCTAGAATAAATATAGGGGTGGGCAAAAGTAGGTTTACAGTTATGAGTACGCCAAGTTTATTTTTTTAAATATATTTCATTGATTTTCTTTTACATTGATGAGACTGAAACATCAATCAGCTGCCTCCTGCACACCCCCCACTGGGGATGTGCCAGCAACCAAGGTACATGCCCTTGACTGGAATCGAACCTGGGACCCTTCAGTCCAAAGGCTGACGCTCTATCCACTGAGCCAAACCGGTCAGGGCCCAAGTTTATTTTTGTATTATTATTTATTAACTATTATATTACTTATGTGTATTATTCCTGCAAACCTACCTCTGTCTATCCCTGTATATGTGACAAAACAGGACTTGGATGTCAGTTTCATACAGTATGCACACAAGGATGCTGAGACCATTAAAATAACCCACTTGCGAAAGAAAGCCTTGGTCACTGTTCTTTCTCTCCCACGGGAACAATGGGACGAAGGGTGAGAAAAAAGAGTAAAACCTTCAGCGCTGCGGTACTGTGGTGTACTGCCTTCTTATTAAAGTCATATACCATAGCTGAACTCACAGGCAATATTTTGAGAGTCATTGAATGCTCCGTCAGAAAGTCAGTGTTTAATTTGGATTTAAAGGGTTGTTCTGTTTCTTGTCTCTAGTTCCTTCTTCTCGGTATTCTTACCTGAAAACATTCAAAGTCTAGTGGAAGACCATGCCATTTCTACAGCCTAAGTCACTGAGGGAAAATAATTAACTTAATAGGCATTCACTTTACCGCAAACTTTAATGGAATGCATTTATGATATAATTGGGAAATAACAGCCACACAGTCACATACATACACGTATCTGTCCTACATTACTTATGTGTGTGAATTCACTTCGACAAAAAGCAGTGTTTGTACCTAAATAACATGGACTTTTTTGTGGCAGAGCATTAAAAAAGGAAAGCTTCATCCATTCTGCATGACGCTCTCCAACAAATTTGTGTCACTGTGTAGACTGTGTAGCCTCCTTTTTTTTTTTTTTTGATCCTCCTTTGTAATCTATTTTAAAGGAACATTTCACGCACCAGGAAAATAAAAGAATAATATCCCTTAGATGAATCTGACTTGTAAATAAGGAAAGCTATTAAGTGCTTAGTGTTCTTGGTTTCTCTATAATAAACACTATAAATAATCTCAGAATATACAGCTCTACTTAATGAGGCTTTGTTTTTTTTAGGGAGAGCAGCATAATATCTGGCATATTCTCTGGCACCCAATCCTCATCTCTTTAAAAAAAAATGAAATACAATAACAGGTGGGAGGAGTACGGTTGTCAATCAGATAAATTAGAGAGGCTGAGCACTCCTGTATGTGGTTAGGTATTATCTGCCACTGATTTGGCTAGTTCCAGTTATCAATTGTCTAAAATTTTGTGAAAGCCTCCCGCCAAATTTTTTTTCACACCGCCAGTATCTTTATGGAGTTGGGAGTCTCTTTAGGTGAACCATTTCAGGAGCAAGAGTATAGAAATAATCCATCCTGAAAATGCCTTCTATTCTAAGCACCTGGCATAAGGCTATTGTGTCCAGTGATTTCCTATTATGGCCTTCCAGACATAAAGGAAACACTCTGAATCCTGAGGACTAATTGCACAGCCGCAGACTTCCTCTTTCTCCAGAGCTTTTTAATTGGGCACTTCAAGTTGCCAAGTATGTTCAAAAAATGGTATTTCAAGTAAGCATGCAGAGTGACTGCCAGTCTAGAATTGAAATAGTCAGCCTGCCTCTGGATGAGGAACGGATGCTCTTATTTTAAGCTATTCATTCTCCAATAGATGGCAACATAAAGGGGGGAAATCAAGTTCCTGGGTCTCTTTCATTCAGCTGGCATTCATACTAATAGAAATATTTCAGGTTCATTTCAACGCACAAAGATAGAGTTAAAAAGGCGTTAGAAAATTAAAATTAGGAATCCCTACTCAAACTGGATATAAGTATTCCATATATGTACTTGTACGTCCTGTGAGCAATTAGCTTAATGGGAGACACAATGGGATAACTATTTAGGGGCTCGATTTTAGGATAGACTCAAATTATTTCTGAAGCCTCCCTTCTCCAGTAAAACCCTGGGCTTTGATTCAAAAGAAAAGGGTCGATATCACATACAAGACTCTGCAACATCACACAACCACATAAAACTGTCATCCTGAAATACTGCGCTGCATGATTTTGTTACTGCTTCTCTTATTCTTGCAGCAATGGACACACAACCTCGGCGGATGAATTCACCACTTCAAGGCTCGAGCGGAGCCGGAGAGAGAAACAATAAAAACAGTCTTGGGAACAGGAGCCCCCCAGGGAGGTAGGCACTGCCATCCAATCTGACAGCAAATCCACCTCTGAAATTAATAATTTTTATACTTCCCACATTCTAAATTTTTTTCCTTAGATGAGAGTATACCTATTCTTAGAAAGGAGCCTAACCCTGAAATTAAACCCAGTGCTACAAAACCTTTGAGCACAATTCTTTCATCAACTATTCATATACTAAAGCTAAAACCTTAGCCTCAGATAAAAAGCACAGTTTTCATAATAACCTTCAGGCAGGGGTAGGGTTCTTGAACCAAGGCTCATAAGGCCTACCCTATATAATAAAAGGCCATAAGCGTAACGACCGGAAGAACCACTCTACCAGTTGCCATGAGGTACATTGACCACCTTTGGCGCATCTCCCCACCTGGCCTGCCTCCCGCAAGCGATGGTGGGTGGGGTGGTAAGCAGTGGCAAGCAGCAGTGAGTTACTTGCACATGATTTCGTGGACTGGGCCTCTAGTACACTATATAAAAACTGACGGAAAAGTTTGACGTGTACTTTCCTAAAAGGAGGTATTAGAACCCATAGATTAGACTGTGACCTAAAAAATTCAGCAACTGACAATAAAACTGTCTCTCTAATTATGGGGAAATATCATAAATAAAACTATGCCGATAGAACAGAATACAGAACAGGAAATAAATATTTTCCAGCAACCTAATGTGTTTCCCTGGAAGGAATGTGATGATAAACCTTTATCATGTACACAGTAACAGAAAATAAAGCTTTTGTTTAATAAAAGATGAGCTGGGTTCATGCACAAAATTGGGAAGCTTTTGTTGTGATTGTTGTTATATATTAATGGACAAAGGGATTCTTTATCATAGGAGTTGAATTTAAAAACCTGGTAGAAACAAGCCCATTCTCAGGCTTATAAAACAAGCCTTTACAGATAATTATGTTTCATTACTGTGCATTTTATGGAAATTGTGTTATACAAAACAAATACCAGATGCCTATTTGTTTTATTCATTTCAGGGAGAGGAAAAAAAGCTACAAGTACCTCTGCGAGTAGAACTGCTTTTAATTAAACACAGTGCACAAGGAGCACATAAAAATTAATACCGTTTGAAGCCAGCAGGTAGAAAGTAAATGTATAAAGCAGCGACGGTGGAATACCCCCTTTTCCCTCCAGCTGAGCTGCGAAAGGAAGCACTGCCAGGCCTATTACTTAGGAGCTGAAATCAGCGAGAGATACTTGAACAAGGTCACTCATAGACTTGTTTTAAGGCCCGTGTTCATGGAAATATAAAGCCTAGAGCAGCCGTGGGCAAACTACAGCCTGCAGGCCAGATCAGGCCCGTTTGTTTGAAATGAATAAAACTATTGAAAAAAAAGACCTTAACCCTTTTATGTAATGATGTTTACTTTGAATTTATATTAGTTCACACAAACACTCCATCCATGCTTTTGTTCCGGCCCTCCGGTCCAGTTTAAGAACCCATTGTGGCCCTCGAGTCAAAAAGTTTGCCCACCCCTGGCATAGAGGTTAGAAAAACAACATGTTTTATTGGTACCTGGGTTAAGCCAGACCCTGTATTAGCCCTCCTGACCCATTTGGGAAAGCTGTTGAGATGGAATGATCCAGGTTCCTTTCTAGTATACGTGAAAAATGCAGAGTGATTTCGGGCATGGTTCAGACTTAACCTGCAAACACTCGCCATGCCAGAGAAGGACATGTCATACTATGGCTACTATCTGATTAATACACCTAAGCTCTTCAAAGAAAAAAAAAAGTGTGTGGTGGGGGGACAGAGAAAAGAACAGTCAACCTAAATGTGGGCATATTTTTCCAGACCCCAAAGAAACAAATCATATCTGTTCAACTGTCAGTACTCATCAGAAAGTGAAAATTCAGCATGCGGTAATTTAGTCCCGGAGTGAGAAAAACACAGTACCCTTCTTTTACCTTTTCCCCCCGTTTGCTTTTGCTTTCTTGTTTGCTTTTAATCAAATCGTAGTAAGACCCAGTCTCCAGCCTAGTCCTAGACTTTGATATCATCTAGCTAGTTACAATTTGTACTCACTAGTGGCAAGACAGAAAATAAACATTTTGAAAGAGCTGTGTGAAGTAATGTGAAACGCCTTGCAACTGTATCTGGCAACCAACTTTCCACAAAGACTATCCACAGACCTTTTCCAAATCACACTTTCTTAAGGGGTCGCACCCCAACTTCCATTCTTTGCAATTCTGACTCTCAGAGTAGTCCTGATTCAGTCTAGTAGTCTTTTTTGGTTAGTGGACTTTGGTGTTTTAGCTAAATGGAAAAAATAAACATTTATTTTACATTAAAAAATCAATTAAAATCCTGTCTTTTTTAGCTTGAAGATTTTTAAACAGGGATGGGCAACTGAGAATATCAAGCACGTAAAGTAGTTACGCACACACACACACTCACAAAACAAAACAAAACACTTTGCTAAAATAATAATAATAATTTAAGGCACTTATTCTCAGACCAAGAATCAGGGGTGAGTATACAGACTAACTGTGATTGGAATCAAATGCCACATTTTACACTCAGTTATAATCTAACCAAATGATTGTTTTCACAAGCTTGTAATTGCTAAAATGAGGAAAAGATATTTATGTACTGACATGGAGTAAAACTTGGTATATAATCAAGTGATTAAAAAAGGAAATTTTAAAAGGGGATCTCTCTCTATCTCTCTATATACATAGAGAGATCAATCCCCTTTTAATATATATGTATACATATATGTGTGTGTGTGTGTGTGTGTATCCTATTTTCAAGAAAATAAATGATATGTGCCCCCCCCCCCAAAAGAAATGTACATTGAACTGTTAAAGATGGTAAAAGGGAGACGCATTAGACATAACTTTCACTTCCTGTAATGTTTGAACTTTGAACAAGGCTCAATCAAGTGTTAACTTCTGCAACCTGCAATCTGGATTTTTTTTTTAAATAACTTTTTTTCTTTCAAAACATTCACCAGATTGTGGTTTATGCTGTAACCCTTGGCGGTGGCTCTATCTTAACAGTCGCATGTAAAATCGAGCTTCTGAGATGAGAATCCTTATGAGCTCGAGCATCTTGACTTGAGTGGCAGTTGGAGGGCCTGATGTGGGATAAGGGAGAGTCAGGAGACAGGAAGAGGTGAGTGTGTGTGAGTGCATGTGGGTACACACGCGTGCGCACCCACCAAGCACAAGCCTTCACAGGAGGAAGGGAGGGTTGCTGAAAAAAGTAAAGAAAAGGAAGAAGCAGCCCTAACTGGTTTGGCTCAGTGGATAGAGCATCGGCCTGTGGACTGAAGGGTCCCGGGTTCAAATCCGGCCAAGGGCATGTACCTTGGCTGTGGGCACATCCCCAGTGTGGGGTGTGCAGGAGGCAGCTGATTGATGTTTCTCTCTCATCGATGTTTCTAACTCTCTATTCCTCTCCCTTCCTCTCTGTAAAAAAACACAATAAAATATATTTAAAAGGAAGAAAGAAAAGGAAGAAGCAGAGAGTAGGATGGGGTGACTCAGGTTGGAGGGAGGCCTTTCAGGGGAGCCATAAAGAAGTTTCCCTTATGGTCCCTTGATAACCGCTAGCGAGTCCCTAGGAAAAAGGTGCATAAAACCCATCCTTGGCAGTGGGAGGGGGAGGTGCCAGGTGCTGCTGTGCAGAGAAGCAAGTGCCAACCAAAGGCCTACAAAACAACAACAACAAGTGGCCTAGGATGATCTGTGAAAGCTGACATCAGTCTATGGGAATCCATGTCCCTAGTGGATGAGGCCACAGAATTGCATCCCCTGTGCATGGGATTAGAGTCCAGGAAAGCTGACTGCTCCCCAGGCGGTTGGCTGAGCATGGTATGCTGGTGCCCCATTCCTCAGCAGACAGTAGGGACTGAGGTTCTGGTCCCACGGGCACAGGAGGTCCCTCCTCACAGCGGGCAGTTGAAGAGGCACAGGAATGAGCAGAGGGTTCTTCTATGGTGGAGAAGCCTGGACAGCCCCACCAGCATGCATTCTCCTCAGTGGCGTCACTCATTCAGCCTGCGCCCCAGAAGGGAGCCAGATTTGAAGCAATAGAAACTCTATGTGGCCAGGAACGGAGGCCCATCTGAGACAACGCAATGCAGTCCAAGCTCCATAAAGCAGGCTTCTAGGGATATTACAGAATTATGACTGAGAACCTACCAGTAGCTAAAGTGACAGCCAAAGGTGCAAAAGTTATTTCAAAGCTACAAGGCTTACTTTTACTCCTGCTATGCTCAACCTCAAGGTGTCCTGGGAGTGGGGGAGGTGTTTCTTCTAAACTTTATTTTTCATTGTCTGATTTTTCTATTCAACATGCCCTTTGGACTGTTTACTCCAAACAAAATTAAAGAATTCTAATAATTCAATTCCAAAAGTCTTTCTTTCTGTGCTAACAGGCCACTATGACCAAAGACACTCATTTCAAAAGTATTTCTTAAGAATCTACTACTAGTATACGCTACTGTGCTAATGCCTGAGAAGCCAATTAGAAGCAAATACACAAATCCTGAAATAAGACTTATTGATTTGTGTCCAAGTAGCACATAATGTGTAAAACATCCAAATAACTTTGTGTTTAAAATATATTTGGAGGCCAATGGTAGAGAGAAAGAACCTACCAGGTGCATTTTTCCACAGGAAAGGAGGTGCTGTGTACTTTGCTCCCAATATTTTTGTTGGGCTCCCTTGATCTATATTTGAGAAAGACCACACATAAAGGAAACTAAAAAAGAGATGCAAAATTCAAGAATATGCCTCCATCTGTTTTGATTCTAGAATTTCTAGATTAAATAAAAAATGGGCTAATCAGCTATAGCAGTGGTTCTCAACCTTCTGGCCCTTTAAATACAGTTCCTCATGTTATGACCCAACCATAAAATTATTTTCGTTGCTACGTCATAACTGTAATGTTATTACTGTTATGAATCATAATGTAAATATCTGATATGCAGGATGGTCTTAGGCGACCCCTGTGAAAGGGTCGTTTGACTGCCAAAGGGGTCGCGACCCACAGGTTGAGAACTGCTGAGCTATAGTAACATTTAACCAAGCACCTATCAAGCACACTACGGAGGTGGGGGTAGGGTGGTGAACTCTGGCATCCAGAGAATGAACCAGCTTCATCCCGGAAGGTATATAAACCTAAAGAGATAAAAACTAAATAATTACAGTGCAAAGTAGAAAGATCTAAGGTTAAAACTGCCCCCAGTCTAAATTCCAGGATTTCCCCAGGCCCTGACTGACAGGCCATAAGGAGGACCCTCACAGCCTACATGCCCAGGCCCCTAAAATCAGACAGGGTGAGACCGTCAAGGGGGAGAAAAACTTCTGAGTCCTCCTCCTGCAGGTGTTGGACGTGCACCCTGAGATTGCCATCTCGCCGGCACAGTGTGGACAGAGAAATGTTTAATCAAGGCTCCGGCTGATGAGGCTGGTGATAACCAAGGAATGTGCTGGGCTGAAGGGCAGCCGAAAGGCCTGCTGATTTATGCTCCTCTTTCTGAAAAATCACTAGACCATTTTCATACCCCCAAGGGGACCTCCAATGACAGGCTTCAAATGACAGGTCTTACACCATGTCCTGAAGAGTAGCAAACTAAGACAGCTCCCAGCCACCACCGGGGCTGGGAATTCCAAAAGAGTATATTTTAGACTTTCAGGAACATGTCCAAAAATTCCAATTAATTCACCTCATCTAATTAAATGAGTTAATTGGAAATACAATACGCTATTTTTATCTCATTGCTACGTGAAAGTACAAGTCAACTTCCTGGAAGAAAGGGCTATTTTTATTTTGAGAAGAGAGAAGGGGACACTTCGGGACAAGGTACCAAAATGAAAAAAAAAAAAAAAAGTAGTACTTTTAAAAATAGCATCTTAAATCTTGGTAGAAAATAATATCCAAAACTAACCCACTAATGTTCCCAGAAAAACATATTTGGACTTTTGACTATGTAACTCCACATGCAAATACAGGCATATAGTCACTATTGTGCATACAATATACACCTCTTTCTTGTCTGGAGCCAAGGATTATCAAAGTTGAAACGAAGGCAGGAAAGCTTCAGTTTATTACACTTAGTGAAACATTCACTAGATGCCCTTTTTCCAGAGCTGCTGTTAGATGAACCTGTGATTTACGACAAGGATGTGAACCTGCGTTAACATGCCTTCGTGTGTGTGACTATGATGGTGTTCCAACGGATATGCGACCTGTGGCATATCCGAAGCACAGCAAGGCCTGCTACTGTGTGGCATCCAGGAGGAGTCAGATCGTATCTGGATTTGGTGGCAGAAATGGCATTATAGAAAAGCTCCTGACAATGCGTATGTTTGTAACCGCCACAGTGACTCCTGAGAGAAAGAATGAGAGTGTAAGTCAGAACGTGTCTGAACCCTCCCAGATCTTCAAAACACAGGCGACACTGTCCTCCCCGTTCCTGTCGTAAGGTTAGCGTCAAGGATGGGCACACACAGCTGAAACTTAACGAGCAGAAACGGTACAGGGGTCTGTTCCCGCTGCCATGGAGAAGGCCATCCTAAAGGAAGAGTCATCAGTTG